GGGATTCTGACCAAAGCTTGTCACAGACATTACATCAGGACACCAGGGAACTAGCTTAACCTGTTGAAATAGGGTATAATACAGTGGGGCAAATAAGTATTTGACCCCTTGCTGATTTTGCAGGTTTGCCGACTTACAAAGAATGCTTATTTTTCCTCATCAGATGGTTATCAATTTTTATAAATTCATATGATGTGATTTTCTGGAATTTTCTTTACATTAGGACACCAGGGAACTAGTTTAACTTGATGAAATAGGGTATGATATGACTCCTTTTTAAGCATCAGTCACCTTACAGGCAGGTTTTTGTGGGGATCCCCAGCTCTGTTGGCAGTAAGGAGCTTCAGGTGAGCACTTCACCTTTAAGGTGGCTCCTCACTTTGTGAGATGTAGAACTTTATGACACATATTTCTCAGGAGTGAGAATCCTGGGTTAAGCTTTAATGGCATCTCCAGAGTTTTACTGAGCAAGCACTTAAAGGAGGATTCTTCAGATGACACACAGAGGGATTTGTGAACCTTAGAACTAGTGGAGGAGGAAATTGGCCCATTTTTCTGGTCAAACTTTAACTGTTTTCACTCAGCAGTTTTTCACACTTTAACCATTGGACAGAGAAGATTCAGTGTCTTTCCTCAAACCACCACAGGGTCCGTAACAGCTGGGCCCATGGGACTTGTTTTTCAGCTCCCATATACAGTGGGATAAATAAGTATTTGACCCCTTGCTGATTTTGCAGGTTTGCCCACTTACAAAGAATGCAACGATCTATAACTTTAATCATATGTACATTCTAACAGTGAGAGACAGAATCCCAAAGAAAATTCCAGAAAATCACATCATATGAATTTATAAAAATTGATAACCATCTGATGAAGAAAAACAAGCATTCTTTGTAAGTGGGCAAACCTGCAAAATCAGCAAGGGGTCAAATACTTATTTCCCCCACTGTAGTGTTGTTGTGTGTGTGTGTGTGTGTGTGTGTGTGTGTGTGTGTGTTTATTTTGTCAGCCATTGTCCACTGCCTGCTTTCTCTAATCCCTTTTCTTCCAGTCTGTAATTCTGCCATTCCCAGTAAAGCCCTGCTGGTAACACTGTCCTGCTCTTGTTTTGTTTGGTCTATAAGTGTGTATGTGTGTGTGTGTGTGTGTGTGTGTCTGTGTGTGTGTGTTTTTGTGTGTGTGACTCTTGACCGGGCTGATCTCTGCTATGTGTTGCCAGCCTTTTCTGGATGTGTCTCCTCTCGTTACGCCTCATCGCTGCACACCACCTCCAGAGGGGGCCTGCGAGTGTTAGACCGCATGTTCATGAACTAATTTAACCTAGTTCCCGGGTGTCCTAATGTAATGTCTGTGACAAGCTTTGGTCAGAATCCCATAAGGATGAAGCCCAATAGCAGTTCAGTCCCCCTGCCTAACCCTAACCCTAACCCTAACCCTAACCCAAAACAGCCCCGTTCAGAGCGTTCGCTTTGGAGTGCCTGTCTCTTTAAATGCAAATGAGACACAGAAAATCCACCCGCTTCTTCAGGGAGGTGTGCCCACGTTGGCACGCTAACGCTACCATGCTAATGCTACCATGCTAACGCTCACGCTACCAGGACGTCTCCACAGATAGGGGAGTAAGCTGAGGGGGGGGCAACATGCAGGTGAAAGGCTGGAATATTATAATGAGCTAGAGCTAATGAGGTCAGAAACTACCCACTCCTGAAACCTCCTGATTTATCTCCTGGATTCAGACTGAGGCAGCCCACAAAAACATGACCCAGTCATTTTTTTTCACACTTTTCCTGCTGATAGGCCCTCCGCAGTCCCAAATGTACACAATCAAATGATTAAAAACTTGGTTTTGCATAATATATCCCCTTTAAGATTACAGCACCTCATGGATACTGTGGGGATTTGCTTTTGCTCTTTTGGTTGAAATGCCTTCAAAGCAGACCGAACACATCCTGGTGTTTAGATGATTTTTCTAGAGCTCTGTAAGTAATCACACTATTATCGCTTTAACGCAGACATTTATGAAAAAAAACAATTGCTAGCTCACGCTAACTGTTCTCTAAGTGTATTGCACACTAACAAATGGAGAATGGAGAAAAGTAGTGGACTGTTACATGTAAAAAAAAGTTTGATTAGGCAAGCATAGGTCAAATCCTTCAGTAACCTGATACCACGCAACGCTTGTTCTGTAGGTTTAAAATTAAACAAGGTGCATTTACTGATTTAAAATTAAAACAAGTAGCTTTGATATGCAAGAAAGAGTAAAAGTGGTGCATCGGGCACTGTGGATCCACGTTTATCTCGCCTTTTTATTTTATTTTCTCTGCGTTTCTTCACCTTTTTGTGTCAGTTTTTGTTTATATTTTTGGCTGCTTTCTCATTGTAGACTATACAGGACATGAGTCCTGTTCCATATTGCAACAGAGTGGGATGTCAGCTTTATCCATGATTTTTTTTTAATGCCGAAAACCTTTTAAAATTTTTTTTTTTTTTAACTCATTGACTGCCAGCCATTTTACATAAAGTCCCATACTGCCAGAGTTTTTTGACTGATTTTTCAAGAGCCACAGAATAGTTTGTGCTATGACTATGTAAACACCGAACACACCAAAAGAAAGAGTAGACTCTCTTCTTTCATCAGGAAAATGTTTTTGTTTCTACCTTATTCCGTTCTTCCTGGACGTGCGTCTCACCGGCGACATGTTCTCTCATAGCGAACCGTTAGCTTTTTCTTATTTGCCTACAGTCTATGCTCATCTCCCATCAAAAGTGGCACTGCCCCCTAGAGGGTCAATTTGTTACTACATACTCTGTCTAGAAGCCCATATTTACGGACAAGCTTTAGCAGATCGTCCCCCAGCCACTCTTGTTGAAAAACATAAAAGACGTCTATAGACGTCTTTGGCAGCCAATGAGTTAATGTTCAATCTCACTCTCTCACCGTCTCCCTCCTGTCTCCTGTTATAAAGGTGCTTTCATCCCGGGACTCCCAGTGCAACCAGTGATCCTCCGGTACCCAAACAAACTGGTAAAACACCTGATTCCTGTTCTCCCTCTTTACTGTTTACTCTCCAGGAATCCTTTTTTTAATCCCTTTGGCCGTCCACATACTGACGTAACGCTTTCCGTCTCCCGGTTTAGGGTGTGTTTGAATGACTTCATGTGCCAGTTGGATGATATTTCATCCACTTCTTTCTCAAACTCGCACACAGGTGTCGTGTCTCTTGCTCGGCACCTCTCCTCCACTCCTTCATGAATTATGCGGCTCTTATTACCCGGTTTTTCACGTCCGTTTCCCTAGAAAGACGTCGTCTCCGTTTCACTTTGCACAGACGTCCGTGACAGTGTGGCATCCAGATCAGTTTAGTGAGGCTAAAACTCACTTAACGCCGTGTTTGACCTCTGTCTTTACTTTTTTATATTTATTTTTTCCCTCCCCCCCCCATAGCAGACCTATATTTTGTGCCACCTCATGCTTTTTAGTCTGTTCACATAGCTTCAAACGCCATTTTGTACCACTTTTTTTACCTCTTTTTTACTACTTTTTACCACTTCTCCCCAAATTAACCTTTGGGGAGAAGTGGAAGTGAATAAGATTTTATTTAAATGAGCAGCTATGAGTAAAAAACAGCTATGCTTCCTTAAAATAACTAGAAATCTTCCCACTTTTCTTTTTTTTCTCTTCTTTTTTACTAATTTAGTATAGTTAATTTTGTATATCATGTCCTTTGACAATCCTCAGTATGATAAAAATAAGGATAGAAAAAAATAAAATAAAATAGTAGAAAGACGTCGTCTCCCTTTCACTTTGCACAGACGTCCGTGACAGTGTGGCATCCAGATCAGTTTAGCGAGGCTAAAACTCACTTAACGGGGTGTTTGACCTCTGTCTTTACTTTTTTATATTAATATATTATTATTATTATAGTTTGTGTGCCACCTCATGCTTTTCAGTCTGTTCACATAACTTCAAATGCCTTTTTTTACCACTTCTCCCCAAATTAACCTTTGGGGAGAAGTGGAAGTGAATATGATTTTTTTTTTTTAAATGAGCAGCAATGAGGAAAAAAACGGCCATGCTTCCTTAAAATAACTAGAAATCTTCCCAGTTTTCTTTTCTTTTCTGCTAATTTAGTATAGCTAATTTTGTATATCATGTCCTTTGACAAGCCTCAGTATGATGAAAATAAGGGAAAATTAAGGTTTTATGTCACCAAGTTGGCATTGAGTATTGGAGTTATTTAACCTGAAATAATCTGCACATTTCCTATTGTTCAGTCAGGAAAAATCATGTCCAGTTAATTAAATTACAAATGTCATTTTTAGCTGAAAATTAATGGAAAATTGCAAGTTTTAGACTAATATTGGTTTTCTTTTCTTGTTCTAACTATGTCTCTCCTCTCCCCAGGACACAGTTTCATGGACATGGGACGGTCCTGGAGCGTGAGTTTTTATTTCCACACAAATTACACAAACACACAAACAAAAAGCTGTTTAAAAAAAAATATATATATATATATATATATATATCTAAGAAGGGCATGTTATGCTGGGAATGAACTTATATGCTGTATTCAGTTTTGTCCCCATTCACCACATTTTTCTTTTCCTTAGACAGAACTAACTCTGTTATCCTCCAGGTTTAAGATCTTATGGCTCACTCTGTGCCAACCTCATAATTCTATGGAGATTGAAGTGAGTGGCTGATCAAAAACAGAAGTCCCTTTTTTGCATTCTTGTATTTTTAGCGTATTCTTCTACAGTGGGGGAAATAAGTATTTGACCCCTTGCTGATTTTGCAGGTTTGGCCACTTACAAAGAATGCAACGATCTATAACTTTAATCATATGTACATTCTAACAGTGAGAGACAGAATCCCAAAGAAATTTCCAGAAAATCACATCATATGAATTTATAACAATTGATAACCATCTGATGAGGAAAAACAAGCATTCTTTTTAAGTGGGCAAACCTGCAAAATCAGCAAGGGGTCAAATACTTATTTCCGCCACTGTATATGGTGCCGCATTGATTAAACCGTGTCCAAACGTGCAGTTTTACAGCACAACAGAGATGTTTGTCTCTTTGTCTCCTCAGTATTTACCCACATACGCCCCTTCTGAGACGGAGAGGGAAAACCCTGCTCTGTTTGCCAGTAACGTGAGGAGACTCATGGCAAAGTAGGTGTGTGTGAGCAGAGATGTTTAAAGTACTGGAGTGGAGGAGCGGAGTAGAAGTACAAGTACTATGTAAAAAGATTTACTTGAGTAAAAGTAGAAGTATTCTTTCAACACCATACTTAAGTGGAAGTACGGAAGTACTCAATTTTTTTTGTACTTAAGTATTGCAAGTAAATTGCTACTCAAGTATCGAAAGTACAAGTATAAGTAAAAGTACAAGTACTGTGTATATTAAAAAAAGGCAGTCAAAAGTATGATAGATATTGTTTATATTATTTCAATACAGGTGTTTACAAAAAACAAAAAACTACATCTGCATTAGCAATCAACAGCCCTTCATCTACTATTATTTATTATTCCAGTCAGAATCATGAGCTGAGCCTTTATGCTATCAGTTAGCATACAGCTAGCCAGCTAGGTTAGCTTTAGATAACGTTATCATACAGTACAGTACTTAAGTAGTTCTACTTCGTTACTGAACATCTCTGTGTGTGAGTGAGGTGTGGGCATCCGCTGGGGGATGTCCCGGGGGTGAAACCCCCCCCCCCCCTTTGTCCCTACAGGACCCTGGAGCTTCCCCTCACAGATCTTTCCTTCGAGGACCGGGACCTCATCCTGTCCCACGGGCCTCTGGGCGTCTACGACCACGGCCGACTGCTGCAGTTCAACCGCCTGGTGTCCCGTTTGGGGTGAGTTAACCCTTTAAAGCCAGATCCAAGAATAAAACAAAACAGAAAATTTGTTTTTTTTTTTGTTTGAATTCCTTATTTGGCCTTTTAACTCATTGACTGGCAGCCATTTTCAGAACAGAGTCCCGTACTGCCAGAGTTTTTTGAGCATTTTGACTGATTTTTCAAGAGCCACAGAATAGTTTGTGCTATGACTATGTAAACACCGAACACACCAAAAGAAAGAGTAGACTCTCTTCTTTCATCAGGAAAAAAAATGTGTTTCTACCTTATTCCGTTCTTCCTGGACTTGCGTCTCACCGGCGACATGTTCTCTCAT